ATGATTCACCAAGTCTACGCTAAGTGTAATGATAATTATAATCTGGAATAATATCTTAGCATGGGTAGATGAATGGAGGTGGAATTTTGGTGAGGAAGAAAGGAAGCATTTGGAGATTAGAGGCAAAATCTTCTAAGGTGATTTAAGCTCCGGATTTATGATTTTTTTAAACCTTGTGTTCGATTGATTCTAGTTCCTTTAATAGTATTTTGAGTCACTTGAGTGATAGGAAAAATTGAACTTTAGAAGAGTTGTCGAAGCTTTAAGAACAATCTAGGAGTGAAATTTTCAGTTTCTGGAAATTGTTAATTTGAGTTTCTGCTTTTTGGGAAAATTTGGAAATTTGAGTTTTTGGGAAAATTTCAGTTCGTGAGCCTCACTTTGGCTCTCTTTTTCTCCCAATCCTTCGAGTTATTCAGGAATCCATTTATTGGGTTTGACAATAGACTTATCAAGAAACAAATTCCATTTTATTTCGTCGTTTTTGGTTAAGGTTTGATAGTGAAATGAAGGCGTAAAGTTTTACAAAAACAAAACAAATCTTAAATTGAAAAGCCGGTGCGCAAACCCAACTTTGGATGTTGTTTTCTCCTTCATTTTAGTTCGGTTTTGAGGGATTTTTGTTGGGTTGGAAACTAGAAGGAATATGCTTTTAAACCACTGCAAGTTTGCCAAGACCACTCGCGACGCGAGCGAGTGGCGGTTGTTCCGATAGCCTCTAACATTGGACATTTTACCCATCCAACTGGATTTTTTTGTTCGAGTCTGATGGTACATGTTTTGAGTCATTCTGAGATTTGTAGCTTAGAGAGTGTGCTCTCTATGTTAAGAGAAAGAATGTTATATAATTACTTTTGTATTCCTATTAGTATTTCTAACTCTAGTTGTGTTATATTTGTTATGTTTATGATATTATTTAGATAAATGGTATCATATAATTACTTTTGTATTCTTATTTATGTTTGATTATTCATTAGAAATTAATATAACGACCTTGACAAAGAACAATTGGGTGATTTGGAGCAACCTTTATCAAAGACGATGTAGACCCAAATTCAAAGTGAATAATATATTGTGTTTTTCTAAAAAAAAAAACAAGGTTCATTTAGACATATAGATTATCAAAAATTCATTTGATAGGTAAAGAAAGACTTTAAACAAAAACTAAAGCCTAAAAACAAAACATTTCAAAGGATCTTAAGGTTCAAAGACTTGATGTGCATTGCAAACAACCATACCTGAAATTAAAAAGAGGAAGGTAGATAGAAACTCATCCTTGGAAGGAAACTTGAGTCCAACCCCAGTATTCCACCAAATGATGGTGGTAAGATCCACTTTCTACTTCTCCACCAAGCCACAAAGTAGTGACTTCCAAAGTCTCCACACCAAGCTTTCCTTTAGAATGAAGATGACTGCACAAGAGAAGTTTGTGGTGCTAGTAACACTTCTCTTGGGACCGATTTTAGCTTGCCTAAGGAGGAAAGATGTCACATTCTGGGATTGGCTTTGTCGTAGCACGATATTATCCGCTTTGGGCCCCCCTCTCTGCCATCACGGTTTTGTTTCTAGGAACTCACAAGCAACTTCTTAGTAGGTTACTCAACCTAGGATTACTCTAGCCCCAACTCACTTAACTTCGGAGTTCCTATGACTCCAAGGCCAGTGAGCTCTCAAAAGGCCTTGTGCTAGATAGAGGTGGGCATGTACATATAAGGCACATCACCTCATCTCCGTTGGTCGATGTGGGATGTTACAATCCACCCCCTTAGGGGCCCGACGTCTTCGTCGGCACACTCACACCACATGGCAGAGTGACTCTAATACCAAAATTGTCACATCCCAAGATTGACTCCGTCGTAGCACGATATTGTCCGCTTTGGACCCCCCTATTTGCCCTCACAGTTTTGTTTCTGGGAACTCACAAGCAACTTCCCAATGGGTCACCCATCCTAAGATTGCTCCAGTCCCAACTCGCTTAACTTCGGAGTTCCCATGACTTAGAGGCCAGTGAGCTCCCAAAAGGCCTCGTGCTAGATGGAGGTGAGCATGTACATATAAGGCACATCACCCCCTCTCCGTTGGTCGATGTGAGATGTTATAAAAGATTTGATGCTTTCTCACTTCCTCCTCACATTTGCAAGACTTAAAACCCTAAGGAGGGTGGGTCTTCTCTTGGGCCTCTTGGTCCAACTTATCCCACTTATCTCTTCTTAAGACATTTTTGCTAAAATCTCATGGGCCTTTAGTTTCTCAAACCATTTTAAAGCCCATTCCATTTCAATGTAATTAATTAACTTTTTAATTAATTCTCTCTCTAATCAATTAATCTAATTAATTGGCTTAATCGTTGATCTTGTCATCTTCTATTATTTATCCAAATTACAAGCTTATGAATGTGAGATCTGTTGGGTTGTAATTAGTGAGGCCGTAGGCAATTATGAATTCTTTCTTTTATCGATTGTGAATTAAAACTCCCTTTTAATTCTCCCTTTTATGAGGACCCATTTATGGAATATGCTCAAGGCTTCCACAAATTGTGAGTGCCATCTAGAACTATACCTCTTCTTTTATCTTGTGATTGGATGAACCAACAAGTATTTTTTATGCATTGACCTTGGTATTGTAAACACATATCTACTGCTTTCTGCAACATATCACATTTACCTAAACTAATCTAGAATATATTAGGAGAACCCATTTAGTTAGAATTACAATGTAATTCGATCCTTCTCTATTTCACAATGCTCTTGATCTCGTTAATAGGATACAAAATTCATGTCAAATCCCTAACGTGATATCTATTGGCTATATGATTCAATATGAGCACAATTGGAAGATTCTTTCTCAATTGCGCTCCAACTCCGATTGGAGATTCCTGAATCATATTTTAAAACATTCTCTTCCTCTTACTGGAAGTTGGGATCCCTTATCGTACACTCACTTGCCTTTATAGACTTGTTGACGATCCCTACGTTACCTTGAATCGAGCCCAAGGATGAGCTCAACTTTATGATTCAATTAGAGACTGACTATTCGTCCATAAGGTAACCATGGTGCCTTAGGTCTAAGGATTAACCTTGCGTTATTATAACCGAAGAAATTTTGTTTGACGTGCAAGTTGAATTTCCATACAAGATTCCTTAGTTTGATCGCGTTCAATGAACTTACTCCTTAGCAAGCACCTACGTACTTATCTCAGTGTCCACACACGAATGACTCGAGACTAGTCATCCTCCTGGTTGAGCAGATAGAGTGCGTACTGATCTTTGCAGTTCGTCAATGCCTAGTTGAATGATCCTATGTCTAGGAACATTTTTGGTTTGAGTAATTGGGAAATGCCCCTTTGCATCTAACTTCTTTCTTATCTTATAACCCATGGACTTGTCAAATAGGTTAATGGTCAAGCATGGACCGTTACCTGGGTTGACATTTTTGCCCTTGTGTGTTAACTTAAATGATTGGTTTAAACGAAGTTTCCATGAAAGATTTCATATAATGATTGGCTTTCAGCGCATACTTCTAACACAGAGAAGATGGGAAGTATTAAAGAGTGGGTTTTGGGAGAAGGATTTGTTTGAGAATGCCTAAAAGGAGTGATGGGGAACTTCAATCTTAGTATGGCTTAGAAGAAATCACCACAAAATGGCTTTTTATTCAAAACACTCCAGTGGACTTATTCACTAACCAAAAAGAAAAGAAAAAAGCATGGAGAGAAGAGGACAATGACGCTTCTTGCTCTTTCCCCCTTAATAGAGTTTTTCTTTGGGACTCACAAAAGGATAAGGCAGCTAGGGTTTCTCATGATATTGGTGGCATAAGAAGACTTATTATGAGCATTTTATTATGTTTATGATTTCTTCTATCCATTACCATTATTTATGTTGGAAAATGGTAAGTAAAATCCCCACTAACCTTTGCACAACCTAGAACACCTTGGTGATTATCTTGTTTTTTGGCACCACAACGTGTATTTTTATGTTACTCTTATATTAATATTTTTATATTTATGTAATAGAAATTGGAAAACAGTGTGTATTTTTATGTTACTCTTATATTAATATTTTTAGGTTTATAAAATAGAAAATGCAACATGATATCTATATAAGTTGATATTTTTAGGTTTACTTACCATTATATCGATGTTTATTCTTTTACAATTATATCAACAAGTTAAATTATACCTTTTTGTTTTTTTACAAAAGAATAATGAATTCACACGTTAGTCATGATAGGAAATCAATTGCTAAGAAAACTAAGTAAAAAAAAAGTTAAAAAAAAAAACAAAATAGCAATAGAGAAAATAATAATAAATAATAATATATAGTGTAGTTTAACTTTTTTTTTAATACTTTAAATAGACAATTTTAATTGGCAAACAACTATTTTATAATTTGATAAGAGAAAATGATCATTTGTGTAATAAAAAATAAAAATGATTTAAGTTGATGTTGAGGAATATAATATAAATACTATAAAAACTAAAGATACACATGAAGTGAAGATTAGCTTGGGTAATTATATAACTCTTTATGAGAAGCGGAGGTCATGAGTTCAAATCTTCCAAATTTGCATATCACTTTTTTTTTTTTCTTTTTGGCCATCAATGATCGGTATTGACATCCACCAAGTCCGTCCGACTCCTGGGCAAAATAACAAAATGGTAATTTCCATTATTGGCACAAACTTTGGGCTAGTCCTTTAAATAAAAAGGGCAAAACAATATTTCCTCTTATTAATTTAAATTGGTCCATTCAATTTGGGCCACATCATTGACCTATTACAAAAATAAATTCAAACCCATTCACCAAATCCAAAACAAAAATACTCCATTTATCATATCCTTATTAGTAAAGATTTTTACCATTAACACGTAATTTTTCTTAAAATTTATACATAACCATATTAGTTATAAAAGAAATAGAAAAAGAGAAAATAAAAAAAGAAGTGTATTATTGGTCACAGTACGCAACATTAGAATAACCGAGGAATTCCCCCCATTTAAAAACCCTCGTCCAAACACCGAACCCTCCACTTTTCCCCAACTCTTCCCTCCTTTCTCTCTCTCTCTCTCTGATTCTCGGAGGCGCAAAACTCAAAAACACACAAAAACAAATAAACGCCTCCGACCAAATCCTTTATCCTTTTACTTCTCCTTCCCCAAACCCTAAGCTCCTCCGATGGCCACCGATCCTACCCAGCAGCAGCAGCAACTGGCCATAATTCTGGGCCCCGACCCGACCCACTTTGAAACCCTAATCTCTCATCTTATGTCCTCCAGCAACGACCAACGATCCCAGGCCGAAGCCCTCTTCAACCTCTGCAAGCAGGCCCACCCGGATGCCCTCCTTCTCAAGCTCCTCCACGTCTTGCAATCCTCGACCCGACCCGAGTCCAGGACCATGGCCGTCATCCTCCTCCGCCGCCAGCTCACCCACGATGACTCCTTCCTCTGGCCCCGCCTCACCCCCAACACCCAGTCCACCCTCAAGTCCCTCCTTCTCTCCTCTCTCCAATCCGAGTCCTCCAAATCCATGTCCAAGAAGCTCTGCGATACCATTTCCGAGCTCGCCTCCTCCCTTCTCCCCGAAAACCAGTGGCCCGAGCTTCTCCCTTTCATGTTCCAGTGCGTCACCTCTGACAATCCCAAACTCCAGGAATCGGCTCTCTTGATTTTCGCCCAATTGGCGCATTACATCGGCGAAACCCTCGTTCCTCACTTGACTACCCTCCACGAGGTCTTCTTCCGATGCCTGTCCACCTCCGCCAAGAGCGCCGACGTCAGAATCGCTGCGCTCGGGGCGTCAGTGAATTTCATCCAGTGCTTGACTAGTGCGGCCGAGAGGGACAGGTTCCAGGACTTGTTGCCGCTGATGATGCAGACGTTGACCGAGGCGTTGAATTGCGGGCAGGAGGCGACTGCGCAGGAGGCTCTGGAGTTGTTGATTGAATTGGCAGGGACTGAACCGAGGTTCTTGAGAAGGCAGTTGGTGGATGTGGTGGGGTCCATGCTTCAGATTGCCGAGGCCGAGTCCTTGGAGGAAGGGACAAGGCATCTGGCCATTGAGTTTGTGATTACCTTGGCCGAGGCCAGGGAGAGGGCACCTGGGATGATGAGGAAGTTGCCGCAGTTCATTCAGAGGTTGTTTGCGATTCTCATGAACATGTTGTTGGACATTGAGGATGAACCTGAGTGGCACGCGGCCGATACAGAGAATGAGGATGCCGGGGAGACAAGCAATTACGGGTTTGGACAGGAGTGTTTGGATAGGCTCTCTATTTCCCTGGGTGGGAATACCATTGTCCCAGTTGCTTCAGAGGTTTTCCCAGCTTTCTTGGCTGCTCCTGAGTGGAAAAAGCACCACGCTGCACACATTGCCCTTGCTCAGATTGCTGAGGGTTGCTCCAAGGTATAAATAACTCATCCTTCGATTTTGTGTTGCCAATGTTGGAGCTTCTGCTATGTGTATAAGCGCTTACTTGATTAGTTATGTATGTGAGCCGTGGACAGTAACGGTAATGTGAGCTTTGGACGCATTTGATATTGTATTTTTCTTCAGGATGATTAGTCATTACTGTAGGTGATCTCATGCCTTTCATACACAGCTTCATAATGAAATAACTTCTCACTTTATTTATGCATGTATTCCTCTGCTGGCTATATTATTCTCTTCCAAGTGGCCTGCTCTAACATTTGCACTTATTGGCGCAGGTAATGATAAAGAACCTTGAACAGGTCGTGTCAATGGTGTTGAATTCATTCCAAGATCCCCATCCGCGTGTGCGATGGGCAGCAATTAATGCAGTTGGGCAATTGTCAACGGATTTAGGCCCAGAGTTACAAGTCCAGTATCACCAGCGAGTGCTGCCTGCTTTGGCTGGAGCCATGGATGACTTCCAAAATCCTCGAGTACAGGTTTGTAACACTGTCCAGTACTCAATAGTAGGGCTTCCTTTCCCCATCTTGTAGGGCTGTATGTTCTTTTAACCCAACACCCCCTGCTTAATAAAATAATGTTTAATTATCTTCATTTTCATTACTCTCGTTTTTGCTGCTGTCTGGGTAAAATTTTATCCTTCTTGTAAAGATGAACCGATTAGGCTATGATATATAGTAATACTGGAAAACTGAGCATAATTCATGTAACTATATATTTCAGTAATGGTGTCATTGAATGTTGATTCTTAATTTAGATAATACGGTTCTGCAAAATGAATTGATACCTGATTATTTTTATGTTTTGTTAATCACAGAAATCGTATTAATTTTATGTCTTCTATTTTTTTGAGGGCACAATTGGGGTTTTTTTTTTGTTTTTGTTTTTTTGTTGCAGTTTCATTTATTTATTTGTAAATAACAACTTGCACACTAATGCATTTATAAATATCTCCAATACAGAAAATTTCATGCAACTGCAAAATGTGAACCATACATTCTTAGGAAAAGAATTATATGTTATCTACAATAATGTTATGCTCATCCGACAATATGTAGCTCTGGCTCCTTCTTCATGCTTCTAACAGATGAATTAAGCATGCAACTTGAAAACATCTTGTGCATGTTAAGATAAGGTTAGAATCCTGAGCCTGAGATGGTGGGTATTTGGGCTTTACAGAACTTTAATGGCACACATCCTAAAACTTATTTGGACATGAGTTCTAGAATTTTTTTTTTGTTTTTTGCATCTTCAAATGTCTGCTTCTGCATTTTTTTTTTTGGGATGGTAGTCTTCCCCATTCCCTCCTTGTTGAAGTACATGTATGGAAGAGTTCCCTTTAGGTTTGTCCTATAAGTTTTGTGCATGTTCTCCATGAAATTGCACTAAGAGTTGAAACTATGTTTTAATTTTACAAGCGGTTTTGTGTTGACCCAAGTATATCCTTGAAATCATGAAATTCATTGAGTGGTGGCAAAATCACTGCGTACGATTGATTTCTTGTTTATTTATACCTAGACACTCCCTCTCCTTAGTTCTTGATTTTCTAGACATTTATGAGTGATGACATTGATGCTTCTGGTTTCACTCTGCACATCAACTTTATGGTTTTTCTGTATTTCTATGTTACAGGCCCATGCTGCTTCAGCAGTACTCAATTTCAGTGAAAATTGCACCCCAGATATTTTGACACCATACCTGGATGGAATTGTGAGCAAGCTTCTTGTACTTCTACAGGTACATAATCTTCCTATTCAGCAATTTCACATAGAGTATGTTTTTGGTGTATATTCTGGCAGAAGATGTATATATTAGTATATAAATTAAAAGTGATTGGTTGGTGAAACCACTTCATATTGGTACAAGAGCTGTAGTGGAAAAATATGTAGTATCAGATAAATATTGTGATTAATCATTGCATTCATGGCTCTTTGTTTAGTCACTTTCATAATGTGATGCAGTTAATGTTTTAGTTAGTCAATGAATGGTTCATATTTTGACCTTTGGTAGTTGCAAAGGAAACATGGACTGGAGAACCTTTTTTTTTTGAAAATAACACAGACCAGGGAAGAGATACTAGGGAAGAAACCATGGATAAGGAGCTGACCAAGAATAGAATTAAAAGACTGTTTTTATGGTAGAATCAGATTGATGGTTCTTTGAAGTTTAAGAAAAAGGATTTTTGAGATGTTTGATTTTCACTGTGCTTGGTCAGAATGTCAGCAATATAAATGGGAAAACATCTTGTGGTGAGGCAGAGAAAATAAAGGAGAATAAGTTAATGAGGCTTATGACGGTGATTAAGTTGAAATTGAAAGCCATTGAGTTAAAAATTCAAAGAAATATCTTGCTTAATCTCTTTCCTTTGGTGTGGGAAATCTTTCTCCTTCTTGGTGCAAAGGTGTACCTGCATTTTTGAACTTATATGTTTTATATTTTTGTGTCCCAGAATGGGAAGCAGATGGTGCAGGAGGGTGCTTTAACAGCTTTAGCATCAGTTGCCGATTCGTCACAGGTACTTGCATTTTTAAACCCATTATTAGGTTGCCAATTTCAGTTTATTTAAGAACACAATGATCAGATTTGACATTTGTATTTGTATTTGCAGGAGCAATTCCAGAAGTATTATGATGCTGTAATGCCTTACTTGAAAGCTATCTTGATTAATGCTAATGACAAATCCAATCGCATGCTACGTGCCAAATCCATGGAGTGTATTAGTTTGGTTGGAATGGCTGTCGGAAAGGATAAGTTCAGGGATGACGCTAAGCAGGTGACGATAAATAACATGTTATACATTATCCTTGGTTCCAGATTAACGATGAGAGAGATCCACTATTTATTTATTTAATTGTTTAGCTGATATTCTGTTTGGTTATTGAAATAATGGTGGCCCTTTGTTTTGTTTTGTTTCGGAAGATTATGGAAGTCTTGATGTCATTGCAAGGATCACAAATGGAGGCAGACGATCCTACAACAAGTTACATGTTACAAGTAAGTTCTTGTAACTTTGAGAAACAACAGGGAAAATGTAGAAGAATGTCCTGCGAATTCTACATATGTAAACTGAATAAACTAACTGCTTAATCATGTTTCAGGCATGGGCCAGACTTTGCAAATGCCTTGGACAGGATTTTCTCCCTTATATGAATGTTGTCATGCCCTCTTTGCTTCAGTCTGCTCAACTGAAGCCTGATGTGACAATTACATCTGCAGATTCAGATGCAGATATTGATGAAGATGATGATAGGTTGGTTGGTTAAATTTTACCTTTTAAGACCTGATACATGTATTGTATTTCGGAAAAAACGACAATTTCTTTTCTGGTAATCTTGGATGCTGTTCCTAATTGTTTGTGCTAGAAAAAGGCACTTTTGAGATCCTACTCATTTGGCTGAATGATACTTTATGGCAAAAAGTATCTATAATTTCAGTTTTTGACAGGTTTTGTGTTCTTTATGCAGCATTGAAATGATTACTGTTGGTGATAAACGGATAGGAATTAGGACTAGTGTCCTGGAGGAAAAAGCTACAGCTTGTAACATGCTATGTTGCTATGCTGATGAACTGAAGGAAGGGTTCTTTCCATGGATTGATCAGGTTGATGATGATTCACGTTTTTTTTTTTTGTTGGGGGGTGTGTGGTGTTTTTATCAACTTCAACAACTAGATAATGACTGTGCTTAAGTTATTGTAGGTTGCTCCAACATTGGTTCCTCTTCTCAAATTTTATTTCCATGAAGAAGTTAGGAAGGCAGCTGTTTCAGGTATTAGCTAGACCAGTTCTTGAATTTAATTATTTTCTCATATCAGATTCTTTTGGAGCTCTCCTGAAATTCTTTATGTCATTTATCTACTTTCTGCAGCGATGCCTGAGCTGTTGCGTTCAGCCAAATTAGCTGTAGAGAAGGGACTTGCACAAGGTCATAATGAGTCTTATATCAAGCAGTTGTCTGATTACATAATACCAGCATTGGTTGAAGCACTACACAAGGTCTTGGAATCTTTGGTTCATTTGGTCTTCAGCAATGATCAGTCATATTTTTTGCTATTTTTTGTGTTTATTTTCAATGCAAGTGACCTTGGTTTTGATGCCTTTGAACATATTTGGTGTGCAGGAGCCTGAGGTAGAAATTTGTGCAAGCATTTTAGATGCGTTAAAGGAATGTGTGCAGGTTTGTGGCATCAATTGATATTTGTTCCGTGTAATAGAACTCATAAACAAATGAATGTGTTTCATATCTGTTATTTTTCCTGCATCTCTCCGTCCCAACTAGGTGTTAATACATTTTATTTGCATGTTACTGATGCTAATAAGTTGTTAACTTAAGTTACTGTTTTAGTTATTTGCTATACACTATTACCCACATGTGCAATACCTACTTACACCAGTGTATTTTTCTTTTCTGTTCAATTTCACACTCCTCAAAGCTTCACTAATTTTTATTTTTTAGTATGTGAAAATAACTGATTTGTGCTTGGCACAATAAAATTCTGATCAGTTTTACTAGTTACTTTGAAATTGCCGGTGGTGATTCTTGCCTTTAATATGAAAAATGTGTGCTTCTAGATAATAATTTATATCTGTTGATTCAATTTCAACAAGTAAACTTAATAATTTCTACCATAAAATCAGAAAATTATTATAAATGACATCAGTGTTTGTATTTTGAAGGAAAATACAACCCATGAAAGCAATCTTGCCTTCAGGTTATGTTTTATATTGACTTCACTAGTTGATTGACTGTTATTGAATTACGTGATAAAAGATTCTCCGTTAACATCCAATATCCTTTCCTGGATTTTATGTTTTTTTATAAATATTTTTAGCCTTCTGTATTTGGCACTAGCCGAAAAAAGCCTTCTATTGGCCTGTGCTTTGTTTATAATTTAGTCACTTATAATAAAATCAAGTATGTTGGATACTATACTGGAAGGATGTTCAACACTTGTGTCTGCTTTATGGAGTTTTACCACTAAATAAGTGTTTTTTGAAGTTTCCTTTCATTGGAGTTTAACCACTGTGCTGCATACTGCTATTGTGTTATGAAGTTGGATCTATTTTAATGTGGTATTTCTTTCAGATTTCTGGAGTACTTCTTGATGAAAACCAAGTTAGGTGCATCGTGGATGAAATCAAACAGGTGGTTACAGCCAGTTCATCAAGAAAACAAGAGCGAGCAGAAAGGGCCAAGGCAGAGGACTTCGATGCAGAAGAAGGAGAACTGCTTAAGGAAGAAAATGAACAAGAAGAAGAACTTTTTGATCTGGTAAGCTTTGAGATTTAGGATATTTTGATGATCTTTTAGTGAAAAAGAAGGAACTGAACGCTGAGTTTTTCTTTTAATGCTTTATTGCTTTCCCTGATGAAGGTCGGTGATTGCTTGGGATCGTTGATTAAGACATTCAAGGCATCTTTCATACCTTTCTTTGATGAGCTTTCAACTTACGTAACACTTATGCTGGTAAATCACCCTTCCTCTCGTTTTGTTTGTCTTGTTTAACTACTTCTAAAGCTATGGTAGTTTTCCATTTTAGTTTTGTACTGGCAGATTGAGATGTGTGTTGCATGTGACTCAGATTGTAATGTGCATTAAATATTTTCAAAATTACTTGTTATTCTTACTAAAATAAAATTATAAATTGAGATTTATAATCAATCTTTGTCAATTATTTGATTTTATTATTAAGTAAGAAATTTCCAGAATAGAAATTATTGATTAAGGAAATAAGAAATAAGGTACATGGTTGAGACACCAATAATACTAGTAACCAATAACATAAGAGATGATGAAATGGAGTTATTAAATAAGATTTTGAAAGGAGGGCTATAATATTGATAGAAAAGGAAAAGAAAACAGACTTATTACTCCGAACATCGTTACTTGTATATATGTTGTATATATACTATGCATAAGGGGGATCCCATATAACTGTAGCTGTAGCAGGATCCATATCAACTTTCTATGTGCTGTCCATATTATTAATACCATCGATAATTCGTTTATACAGTTGTTGATATTATGTTGATGTACATCCCACCCTAGCTACAGTGAAAACAGAATCTCATTTATGAAGGGCCCTACACACACACACACACACACACACACACACACACTCATTTATATATGTAGGAAACTGCTATTGGCATTCCGGAAAAGTCAGCATACCTTCCTCCCTTATGCTTTTACAAAGGAGTGCAAGATGACTTTTTTTGAAGCGCCAATAATAGCTTCACGAAAGGGATTCCCAGTTTTTGCTGGAAATGGGGTCTGCTTGTAGGGCACACTCGACTTCATAGATCAACATTGTATAGACGTGCATGAGTTTTAGTTATACATCACCACTGCTTACCCCTTCTCACACTGGATGAGTTAATCTGCTCCTTGAACATCAGAGTTTTGACCATCATCATCTGGTTATGGACGGGTTTGCATGATTGTTGTGAATTTAATTTGATGTTGACAGTATCACACTATTTATCTCCGACTCGTGTGGGGTATCCTTGAAGCTTTAGTTATACATCACCGATGCGTATGCCTTCTCACACTGGATGAGTTAATCTGCTCCTTGAACATTGGAGTTTGACCATCATCATCTGGTCATGGACGGGTTTGCATGACTCTTGTGAATTTAATTTGATGTTGACAGCATCACACTATTTATTGTGTCTACTTTGTAAAAAGAAGTTACTTTGGATATTTAACATGAAATGGAGTGTAATTCGTAAATTGACATGTTAAATCTAGGCAAACAAGAACGAAGCAGCTATGAAAAAAATACATGTTCTTAGTATTTTTTGTATTCCCTTACGTGTTCGAGTTTATGATTTGAACTCATGTACTTACAAGAATTTTTCTGATGGCTTATTGATGGAGCAGGGTAAGGATAAAACTGCGGAAGAGAGGCGGATTGCCATTTGTATATTTGATGATATGGCAGAGCATTGCCGTGAAGCAGCTCTTAAGTAAGCAGTTTTGTTTGTATTATGTTGGAAGGGTGATGATTTTGGCAATCCAAAATCACTCAAAAATAACCTCATGTACTCCTCTTGTATGTGAGAGTAGAGGAGTGTGGGAGTTTGGAGTGCCTAAATCATCTCCCATATTGGAATCTTGATTCCTATTTTCTCCTCATGTAACCAAATGACAATTGGTGAAACAGATACTATGATACCTACGTTCCTTTCCTATTGGAAGCTTGCAATGATGAAAGTTCAGATGTTCGTCAGGTTTGTACTCCTATTGATTGTGTTACAGTGCATATTTAGTTATCATAGTGACAGTTAACAGCAAAGAACATCTACTTCAGGCTGCGGTTTATGGGGTTGGTCTTTGCGCTGAGTATGGTGGATCTGTGTTTAAACCGCTTGTTGGAGGTAGGTTGCTTTGCTCTTGCTTCGTTTCTGTATTTGTTTGGAGTTGTTTCCTTGTATGTTTTCTGATGGGTGTTATTTTTCAATTTTTTCCCTCTGCAGAAGCTCTTTCTAGGTTGGATATGGTAATCAGGCACCCTAATGCACAACATTCTGACAATGTGATGGCATATGACAATGCTGTTTCAGCTTTTGGGAAAATTTGCCAGTTCCATCGTGACAGTATAGATGCAACACAGGTAGATGATATTCTTTTGCTTCAAACTCTGATCTTTCGTACATCTTTCGTATTTCTCTATGCTCATTTCCTTGTTTTTACTTCTGTCGATGTGTCTATACTTGGCGTCATGCTAAAAAATTGATCGTTTGAGGCATAAATGGTGTACCATTAACTTACTGCTTGTTCTGTACCATAACCACTCAGAGTGATGATTGCATCCTATTTATATTGTGTCATGTTCAAACCCAACAATTCCTTAATGCAGCCTACTCAAGCCCAACAATCCCTTAATGCTGCCGACTTGAGGCCTGTTTGGGACTGCTTCTGGGAGGGCTAAAACCGATAGTGCTTCTGACAATGTTTGGCAGAAAAAATTAAAAGTGCTTCAGGGTCATAAAAGCGCATACTGGAGAAACACTCAAGCGCTTCTTCTGGAAGCACCCGACGCGCTTCTAGTAAACGCATTTATGAGCAGAATTGCTTCCTACAAGAGCAATCCTAAACAGGCCCTCCATCAACTAAATTGATTTGTATTCTGGGTTTTGATATCTTTGGAGGAATTCCAGCATGCTCAATCTGATGCTCTCAGTATGATCAAATGTCCCTATTAAATTGATTTGCGTTCATTAGAAGCCGTGTTGTGATAAGATAAACTATGTCATCCATTGAATCACGCACATCATCTTTCAGTGCTAGGTTAGAGTCAACTCAAAGTTGGTTGATGGCGGTGCTGCAGGGTTTGTAGAATAAACATAGTTGATTGCTAGGTGAAGCTTTTCAGGGTGGGTAATTAGTATCCATTAGGTGTTAGGAATGTGGTTGTGATGGTGATGGTGATTTGGCCCAATATTTTTACCCCATCCCAAATCAGCACACTTGTAAATAGATAGCTGCATTTGATTAGTCGGCTAGTGCTTTGCTGATTTACTGATGTGAATGAAAAATAACTGAGATGTCGAATTGTTACCCTTGGGGCCATTTCAATTCTGAAATGAAGTCACAATTTTGTGTCAGAAGTTCTGTATATGTGCTACTGCTATTTGTTCAACCGTTTACTAGCATTATACTTCCTCACAATGCTTTTCTTTACATTTTTTGTCATACACAATGATTTTTTTCCCGATCTATCTATTAACATATCAAGTCTGGTTGTGGATATTTAATATTGGCCTTTCTGTTGTTTCACAAATCCATTTTGTTTGGCAGCTTGTCCCAGCCTGGTTAAGCTGTTTACCTATAAAAGGTGATTTGATTGAGGCCAAGGTTGTCCATGACCAGCTATGTTCAATGGTTGAAAGGTAAAAAAACTGGAATTTGGAGATTGTTGAATTGTTAATAGATAAATGTTTGCATGTCTTTTTTTGGTCAGTATTATTTTCCACTCTTCAATGCCTACTATTTAATTGTCCAAGGTGATTGTATAATGAAAAGTAATTGCATTGTTTACAGGTCAGATAGAGAGCTTTTAGGGCCCAATAATCAATATCTTCCCAAAATAGTTGCGGTTTTTGCTGAGGTATGTAGTGGTTTTCTGATGCACGTACTAATCTCACTCATTATTGTGAACTATTAGGTCTCTCTCTCTCTCTCTCTCTCTCTCTCTCTCTCTCTCTCTCAATTGGGCCAATGTGCTGTAGGTTTTATGCGCTGGTAAAGATTTGGCAACAGAGCAAACTGCTAGTCGTATGGTTAGTCTATTAAGGCAGCTTCAACAAACTTTACCGCCCTCTACCCTAGAATCAACCTGGTCATCCTTGCAGCCCCAGCAACAGCTTGCATTGCAATTTATACTCTCATCATAATTCTTTAGCCTTGGCATTGCCTTATGTTTGTGGAAACTGCTGCTTCTGGTCATTATATTTCCCTTTGCATTGGTGGGATATGCAATTTCATTTATCAGGAAAGCTCGTGGGGTGGGCACATGATTGTTTGGAAGCGGATGTCTGGTCTGCGTTTTGATAGTGCATTCTTTTGATTTTGTGTTCCAAAATTATTTCTCGTGGTTTGGCGCCAATGCCTTGTTGCATTTTTTAGTCGGCGGAGGATGAAAAAAGTTAGGGATAGTGAAAGTTTTGCAATACAGTGTGCATATTATAGACGATCCAGTACTCCTAAGCTTCAAAAGATTGAAGTCAACAAAAGGATTGTGTACAATTGTGGCTTTTAGTTTTGTATGTTAAAGGTCAAGGTGTGTGATGAAGACATCTTGTATCAGTTTTGGTGCTTTATATTTTTGAAATGTAAAACAGTTTAATATAAGTTTGTTTTGCATTTGGTTTCATTGTTCAGCACATATCCTTGTCACCCTTGAGCATCTACTTTTGCTATCTGCACTGCACTTCAACTACATTTACGTTGCTGGGGCCTATACATAGCATCAATGATTCTTATGTGACTTCGTACAATACATATAATGGTTGGGAATCTCCAAGTCCTTTGGAATTAGTTAGCAGTTATGTGAGTCACAACTACCGGAGGCCAAAATGATTTAGTTTGGGGTTTTCATTCCAAGGAAGTTTGGCTCGTTATATTTAGAGTGGTGAATTGATGATGGAGACGTAGTTTGTTTGGCCTTCTTCGTCATTGTTTGTTATCTACGTGGCAGGTTTTATCACAAAAGTTCTCAATGTAAGGATTTTATTACAAAAGAACTCGGTGTAAGTGTAATTTAAGATGTCCTACTTCTGACTCTATTTTAAGCCCGATTAGAGTTTTCTCGAGCTTAATTTGATCTTAATATTTAGAGCAGTGAAACAATGGAGTTGGTTTGGTCTTGTTTTATCACAATAGTAGCCCTCTCAGTGTAATTTGAGATCTACTACTTACAAGTTACAACCCCATTTGAAGTTAACCCCTGTCAAAATCTTCTTTAGCTTACTCTAATATGTTCTAAAGAACTGAGTTGCTCCACTTATTGTGCAGTTGAGTTGTCATCTTACCATGTCTGCTCAACCTCACCTCGAATGATGGTAATGTTTCTAAGTGTACTCGGACAAACTAGGCTATAATATTTTATTACTCTTTTGGGGTCATGCCCTTTAGCCCTAGCCCCATTTCGGGGTTGTAATGATATGGTCCAACTTAACTGCCTGCCTAGATTGAATGTATGGTTGGGTCAAAGCTGTGACGACCTGTCTAGTCTAGGCGTGTCTTTCATCTCAAAAGGTCTTGGTGTCAGATTCCAAACATTAGAATTTACTTATTTTTAATATAAGTGATAATTTAAATTACGTGGAACATGAGATTTCTCATATACACACTACAAAGATGTTATGAGGGTTCGAACTTGACACTATTAGTCTTCAAATCAATGTCATTACTACTAGTCTTCAATTTAATGTCATTTTTCATCCGTTGGTAAAGATTACTGGTTATCTAATGATGGACAGTAGTAAACCCATAATTTCAAACAAATACACATATAACTCAAGTGCTAACTAATTAATAAGTTAATATGGCACTTGTCATTTATTTTTACCAACTTCACAACATATTTTCATACTCCGAGAACCGCTTATTTTTTTTCAAGGATAATCTAGGCAAATGATGGGTTAGAGTAGAAATTGTTTGATCATCTAAACTGTGCAAACAAACACAATGGAAATCAAATGCCTAAGCAATTTTCAATTTTACTAATTTCATGAATGATTGATTTATGAATAAGAAATTAAGAAATAGATGTGTGTGGTGCGCGTGACTGGTATTGCTACATTTGTTAGTTTTGGCTCTATTACATTGTGCATGTCTTCTAAAGAATTGGGGCAATATTCCTATGGATCATGAGCAGCACGTAGATGACAAACTTATTAAAAGGCTTCCATGTTTGAAGATTTATGTATATCTAATGATGAGGATGGTGATTATCATCGTCATAGTACATACAGAGACCCAATGTTTTATATATTTCAAAATTTTTAAATAGAAACAATATTATAATAAAGATTAAAAAAAATATAGAAAGAATCTAGTAATAATATAATGATGAAATAACAAGGTTTGTCTGGTGACGCAAGGAGGAGTAAAACAAACGCAGCTTGTTGCATATTAAGATATTATATTTGTGTATTCTGTCCATGAACATATATGACTTGGTCTTCACCGAAATTCAAAAGATCCATTTGTGCTTTTTTGGTCCCTTTGATTCTGTTCTTATCTAGAAGAGCATTTTGGTGCCTCCAAGTGGCAGCCTTTCGTGCCTTCACGACTTTTTTTGTCAAATGCTTGACTTGGAGAGAAGAGAGGGGACAAAGTTTGAGCCCCTTACCCTACAAGGCCTTAAATGGTAACGCCCGTTTTTGTGTTATGTCCTTAATGTCCCTCCACAACTAAGACTTGTTTTCTCTTGTTTGTTTGCAAATAGGGTGACATTTTTTTTTTGGGGGTTAAAAAAGTTAGAATTTAATTGGGATATAAAATATTAGAACTTATAAGGAATTTGTAGTTTAAGTGATTAAGAGTGTTTATCGTTGTACTCGAGGTCTTATAATCGATTACCCTTACTTAACTACCGCTTGTTTAGAAAATATAGAACTTCATTTGGTTTGTGTGTATTACTCTAACTAGACTAGTAGTGTATAGTTTAATTGGTTGAATTCTTCCACTTTATTCACATGGAAAAAAGTTCGAGACTCTAATGAATATTTGTGTATAAACCCCACTCCTCCAACTGCTTGTACTTAAAAAACACAGTATATATTATTCTAACTTGAATTGATGGCATGTTGAGAAAATCGTAACAATGGCAAGTAACGCATGAGATGGGGAACCATAATCGGTTATTTTGTCAAATGCCAAAAGGGTATTTATGGAAAAAGAATACAAGTCTCCTCTGACAGATAATTTTTCAACATTGAACATTAAGTATACGTTCCATAAGATAACAAACAGAAAAGGACAGAGAGCTCCAAAACCATCCAATTGCCTATAGAAAACTCAGAAAACCTTTGAATATATAAATCCCCTACCACAACCAAACAAGGAGATGAAGACGAGCTCTCCACTACTATTGAGAGCTGGCTACCTTATACAGAGACAGAGTGCCTTCTTCCAATTCATTCTCTGATCAGCCTTCCTCAAATCAAACCCATCTCTCTCTCTCTCTCTCTCATCTCCAACCATCTTAATTATTTTCTTGCACATTTAATTTGCAATGGAATTTCAGTTCCAACAGCAGAACCAAATTTGCTTCCCAGCCGCAGCAGCTAACAAAGCTGTAGGCATTCCAATAAGCAAAGTGGGAAAGTCGAAGGGAAGAACTAGAAGCAACAACACAAACAAGTTTGTTGGTGTGAGGCAAAGGCCTTCAGGGAGATGGGTAGCTGAGATCAAAGACACCACACAGAAGATAAGAATGTGGCTTGGAACCTTTGAGACTGCCGAAGAGGCTGCTCGAGCTTACGATGAAGCTGCCTGCCTTCTTCGCGGCTCAAATACTCGAACCAACTTCATTACACATGTCTCTTTGGATTCTCCTCTTGCTTCTCGAATCCGAAATCTACTTAACACCAAAAGAGGAGGATCAAACAAACAAGTAATAGAGCAAACTAGTTCTAGTATTGGTGATCATGATGATATGAATGCCTCACATCCTCCCACATCTTCTACTACTAGTAATGACAAGTACATGACTAGCAATATTAGCACTGCCAGTACAAGCACTTGTAATTCCACCAGCAGTGGCAGTGATACACTTTCTAGTGAGGTGTTTCAAGATTCTCAGCTGTTTGATGATGTCTACAGACCAGATTTGAGACACTGCAATGAGGAATTTGAGTTGAGCTCTTCTGCTTCTCAATCCAATCTTTCATGGGGTGGATTTGAACCCGGGGTTGACGAGTTCTCATTTGCCCAACAAGTGTTTGATTTGCCGAAACATCAGGCAGCTGCTGCTGCTTCTTCTTCTACTACTTCTAGTACTACTACCACTACCACAGCAGTTGAAGCTGATTCGGAGTTTCTGGAATTCGAAAGGATGAAAGTTGAAAGACAGATATCAGCTTCCCTCTATGCAATGAATGGAGTGCAAGAGTATATGGATACAGTTTATGATCCTAACGAACCCTCTTGGGATCTTCCACCAATATGTCCTTTGTTCTGCTGAATATGAAGGTTTTCTTTAGCGATCAAGGAATTTTCATCTCTCTTTCATTCTTGTCATCTTTCTTTTTTTATTTCGCTTTAAACTCTCAAAAGGGGTTTATGGTATACGACTGGATTATAATAACTGAGAAACTGTTAGAGATAAAGATGGATACTTATTTGTATAACTTATTCTTGCTGATTTAAATATGTCTGCAGAACATACATATATGGAGAAGTTACACTTAATGTTATTTAAAGCTTTCCTCAATCATAAAATGTCTTTCTTTCCCAGAATCCCAGCAATCATATGTTGATTTAAATATACCCATGTCCCCTATTGTCCAAATCAACTATCTTCCTTGGGGAGAAAAATAGATATAGTTGATATGTTACAGGTAACAATTAAGAAACAAAATGCACCCTTCCTCTAACAGCTAAACATAAGAAACTCCGAGGACTGATCCTTTACTGCCGATTCGCGATTTCACCTTTCACCCAGTTGGAGAATCTGTGGCAGTAAGGACAGTCTTTACCTGAAATAGCATTTTAAGGTCCATGATCAACCTGTTCAAGAAAAAAAAATAAAAGAATAAAACGAAAACGATAGCATATGTTAAGGGCAGCTATAGTCGCGTGGTTAATTTTGCTGAGCCAAACAAAATGTTGAAACTAGATTTGGTTTAGGGGAGTGGAGCTTGATCCCTAAGAAACCTGTCATTATAATTTATATAAACTCAACATTGGCTTGTGGGGAGGTATGCAATCATTTCCATTCACTGGCTAAAGCAATTCTTGCAAACATGGAATATTACATTAAGCCTCTAGTCAGGAATGTGTGAAAGCATTTCTTCTTGTGAGAAATCCTACTCCAACATCAGATAACTCTTCTCTATAATCCTTGCTCATTTCCTCACCTTGCTAGATGTTGATGGTTTTGAAAACAGTTCCGAAATTGATAAAGAAAAGATGTTGAACCATAAAAATGCAACCCCTGTAGTCTTTAAAGTATGTTGTTGGTTTATTTTATGTCCTTCACTACTTAAAATGGAGTTTTGATGTTAGTTTGTGTGTGTGTGTGTGTGTGTGACGCAAAGGAATTTATGTGTACAAGTACATGAAAAATAGGTTATCCATGCATAATGTGTTTGATACTCCTTCACAAAATATACTTATGGCATGTTTGCTAACTTGGAATGAGGGTGAACGTGCAT